TGTCCTGCTTCTTCACAAGTCTCTTCATTTATGACTGAATGTCAAACATTTGTATAACAGAGCTCTTGAATATGAAGTAAATAATTTCTCACAGAAAGGGCTTGCCCTTTGGTCATACAAATTGGGGTGGGGCTGACCTTTTAGATCAAATCAGGTTTTGAGCTGAATTAGGGCTGTTGGACAATTTTGTTCATTTCAAATGTCACATACACAGGATCAGATCTTCGCCTCCAACAGAGCTTTGGGATCTTTTCACAGCAAGACCAGGAAACATCTTTCTGCTTTCCAGTGTCATTCCCAGGAAATCAGATCTTAGGCACAAAGTTGAATAAACTGACCATGATAGTACCTTATGGACCCTAGAGCATTTGTTTTGTTCTGTTATTTTTTAAATCTATATTGCTATTCACTTTCCAAAGACACTACACATAATCATGAAAACTTCTGGTTTTAGAAGAGATGCACTGTATTTTAACATGTGAAATATCTTGGTGGATATATCCAAGAAGAAACTAAATGTATGGATTTGGAGCTATCAAAGGAAGGCAGAAAGGCATATCAGCTAAAATGACCGAGTTAGGAGCCCCAAAAGACCACCTTGCCATAAAAGCAACCAAAAAAATGGCAGAAACTGGCAGCTTCAACCTTCTTGGAACTCTGGAAACTGACTAAAAGCATAAGACTACCCAGGAAGCACTTATTCAAGAAAAATGGCCGAGTCTCAGTAAGAATAGCAAGCTTTATGATATTTTAAATTTACCCTAGTCCTATTCCTACACCCAAGCTCAGTGGCAGGCTTGAAAATAACAGCCCATCTTCCCAGTACCTGTACCAGAGGGAAAGAAGCAAATCAGATTTACAAAGAATTATCTCTAGTTTATCTTTCTGGTGGTTCCCTGGAAGATTAGATCAAATGGTTCACCTTTATTTCACCTAACTCAGAACTCACCCAGGGCTAAAGCCACTACTGGGAAACATTTGTTGAAAACACATATGGGCAAGAGTTTTAGCTGCTGCCATTGGAAGCACTGATTAAGAGCTGGAGCAAAAAAGTAGACCTGACTAAGAGCTCGGAAAGAAAGCCTGGGAGAGGAGATGCTTTGGCAGATAATCCGACCACAATGAATGAAACTGAAATCATTAACAGAGGAAAATTATAAAATTCATGTAGACATTACACAACAAATTCTTAAACAGCCAATGCGTCAAAGAAGAAATCACAGGGGAAATTAGAAAATACTTTGAGAGGAACAAAAATGAAAACATAAAGTACCAAAACTTGTAGAATGTAATGAAAGCAGTGCCCAGAAGGAAATTTATACCTGTAAAGACCTATTTCAAAAAAGAAGAAAGATCTAAAATCAATATCCTAACTTTACATCTTAAGGAACTAGAAAAAGAAGAGCAAACTAAACACAAAGTAGCAGAAGGAAAAAAAAATAAAGATTAGAGTGGAAATAAATGAAACAGATAACAGAAAACAAAGGAGAAAATCAACAAAACCAAAAGTTGGTTCTTTGAAAAGATTAACAAAATTAATAAAACCTCTACCTAGAATGACAAAGACAAAAAGAGAAGACACTCAAATTACTAAAATCATAAATGAAAGTGGAGATATGACTACTGACCTTACAGAAATAAAAAGAACTATAAGGGAATACTATGAACAATTATACATCAACAAATTAGATGACTTAGATGAAATGGACAAATTTCTAGAAATACGCAAACTACCACAACTGAATCAAAAGAAAACAGAAAATCTGAATAGACCTACAGTAAGTTAAAAGATCGAGTCAATAATCAAAAACTTCTCAACAGGCCGGGTGTGGTGGCTCACGCCTGTAATCCCAGCACTCTGGGAAGCCGAGGCGGACAGATCATTTGAGCTCAGGAGTTCAAGACCAGCCTGAGCAAGAGCGAGACCCCATCTCTACTATAAATAGAAAGAAATTAGCCAAACAACTAAAAATAGAAAAAATTAGCCGAGCATGGCGGTGCGTGCCTGTAGTCCCAGCTACTCG